CAAGTCGCCCCCGGAGAAGAAGCTCAAGAGATACGTGAGTCGAGCGGCGCGGCGCGGCGTCCCCGACCCCCTGCCCCTGCCCCGCGCCCCTGCACGGGTCGTGCGTCCCCGCGGGGAGGGTCGCGGCTCGCGGCGGGCGCCCCGCCGCACATGCCCGGCACTGCGGAGAGCTGGCGGGGATGCGCGGCGGCGCGCGCGCCGCGGCGCCGGGCGAAACGCGCGTCTCCGGGGCTCGTCGGAGCGCTCGGACGCGTGGTTCGCGCCCCTGGTATGCGGCGCTCGCGGAGGGACGAGGCGCTCGGGGGCTTCGCGCGAGGGGCCCCTTCCCGCGCGCCGCCCGCCCCGTGCCTTTTGCCCGTTGGGTCCCCCGCCGCGTCTCCCCGAGTTGCGTGCTGGAACGGCGGCTATTATGCAACCCGCGCTTGGGTTTCGCGAGTGTGTGTTTGGAGAGACCACATTTTCTGTTTCAGTTATTGTGCGTGCCTTTTGCAACCGAAATCCGAATGCTTCGCCTCTCACGTCGGGTGACTTTGCAAATAACTTCTCGTCCTCTAGATGAGAAAGCCGCAGCAGCAGCAGCAAAACAAAAACAAACGAGCCACAACAAACCCACCCCAAAGACGAGCGCCGCACCAGCGGGCTTGGCGTGCGTGTTCTGGAGGCGCGAGGCGCTTGGCGCAGCTGGGGACCCTCCGAGTCCCCGACCCGAGCTGGGGGGGGGGGTTGCCTTGAGCCCCGTGTGGCACATCTGGGTCCTCAGCACTTGGCAATGGGGAGAAAAATGAAAACATTCCCTTCCCGAGAAAGTTCAGAGCAGGGTCAAAACCAGATCAGGGCTCAGGTCCAACCTTTGTGTCATGGCCGGAATTTCTCAGATTGTAAACAGTCCTCTGTTTTCCTACACCTTCCTCCAAATATTATAGGGTGCCTTTGTAGGCAGAAAAAAGTCTGTAGGCTGGGAACGCTTGGACTTTTTTCTGTCTAAAAGAGAGATAGAGGGTTGCATTGTTAGTTTGTGTGCGTGTTTTTTAACATATTTCAATAACATATCGAAACATATTTTCAAGCCCTCTGCCAGCTACTGAGTTCGGGTTTGGACAGAAGCCGAAGCAATTGGCTTGTCAGGGTGGGACTTGAGGACAGAGGCTTGGGGCCCACTAAGGAAAGGGCAAGATGGTCCCCGACTGGTCTGACTTAGCACGTTTTGAAGTCAGTGAAATCATTCCTTCACCGTCTGAAGAGGGAGGGCACACAGGGCCGTGGTGTCTAAAATTACCGGATCTTATCGTGCATGGGGGTTGGAGAGGGGGGAGAATGACCTTCCTTGTACCTGGCTGAACCCTGCGCCTCCGTCTCGTCGTGTCCGTCCTTCATCCAGCCTGCTGTGCCTCTCCTCCCGGTTTGTCCGGTCTGTCCTCACCAGGGCTATAAATCTGCTGGGTGGAGATCCCTCGCACACGGCATTTGTGCTGCATTTGCACAGTGCCGGGGTGCGAGTGTGCAGGCGAGGAGGTGGGGTGACTCTGCAGTGCCACCAGCACACTCCCAGGCTGCACCCCTGGCCTGCATTGCTCCCTCCTGGCCATGTGGACTGCCCTGGATGCAACCCAGGATGCTTGCAGACGCCCAGGATCCTGGCGCAACAAGCCATTTTCTGCAGGGAAGAAGACGTGGGTGTGGGAATCCCAAGAGGTTCGCACAGGGGACACAACCCCTGGTGCGATTCCAGGGACAAGGCAGGGGGATTGTGAGATGAATGCCCCCGGGAAGTGCCCCACCGTGCTTTTGAAAGGGCAGACTCTGAGCATGGACCTTCTTTCTCGCTACGCATCATTCCTTTTATCTCATCCATTCTTTATGATCCTGCATCTATTTCCTTGTTTTGCTCAGTTGGTATTTCCCCGCCCCTAACTTTAAATAACCAATACAACTTGTCTCCAGGGAGCTGCGTATAAATAGCATTCTGTGGTGCCTTTGGTTTTTATTTCAGCGCTGACATGGACATCCATGGGCCTGGTCTGGGGCATGACAGGCCCAAACAAACCTTCTGGAGCACAGAACACGGGAGCAGGTCACAGGCTGGAGGGTTGGATGGGAACTGAGGCAGGTTCTAGTCCCCACTGGTGGGTCCACTCCCAGTCTAGCCTTCCTTACAGGGTCGTTGTAAGGATGAAATGGAGAGGGAGTGGACTATGAAAGCCGTCCTGGGTTCTTTGCGAGAGGAAAAAGGCTAGGATAGGATGGTGGTGGTGGTGTTGATTGTGAGGTAGCTGTGTGCAGCCTGCAGACATAGATCTCAGTGTCCATCAACTGTTTACACCATGTGATTGGCAGTGATGGTGACCCTTAACTGTTGAAACCATCAGACACCCAGCAGATGTGGACCAGGAATTAAGTCCTGCTTTCTTTGTGGGGCCTTGTTTCTGTGGCTTCCCAAGAGTCATCCACATGCTCTGTAAGATGTCCAGCACACGGGTGGGACCACAGCTCAGTGGACAGTTCTGCCTGCAAGGTGTCCCAGGTGATGTCCTGGCACCTCAGTTCAGAGGACCAGGGAGCGAAGCTGGAGAGCAACCAGAGATCCTGGTCATCCCAGGGCCTGTTGCGGCCTGAAGCAAGGCCGAAGACGGTCTCCACCATCCCAGCTGCCAATGGGATCTCACCTGAGTGCTGGGGATGGGACATCCACTCCCTCCCCTGCTCCTCACCTGAGGCTAACTTCTGGTCCAGAGGGTGGGTTACCTGGAGGAGCGCCTTCCTGCCGCAGAGATGAGCGTCTTGGGGCTGCTGTCCCCCTTGCCACACCATCTGCTGGCTGAGGCAGTGGTTGCAGTTTGCCTCATGGTAGGGCTGGCCATGCTGAGCAGAGTCTGACAAAGAGAACCTAAGAAGGGTCATGCTGGATTGGACCAACGGTCCGTTGAGGACAGCGCTCTGTTCAAACAGTGGCACACCAGCGGCCTTGTCAATGGAATGCATCGCAGGCTGCGAATGTCACCTGTCTCCGTGTCCTTTGAACTAGTATCCTTGTGGCCTATAGTTTCATGCTGGCCACGGCAGCCCCCTCCTCACTGGCCAGCAGGGAAACACACAGGAGAAATCTCTTTGCGGGCAAGTAAAAATATCAAGGGGATGGGCAGAGAAGCGAAAGAACTCTTCTTTCCTTTCTCCAACATCATGCTAGCCATGGAGGAGAGGAAGCCCTGTCCTTCATGGCCAGTGTGGAACCCAAGCAGCCAGCAGAGGAAGAGCGGAGAAACTTTTTCCTTTTCCTGCAGCTGTCATTGTTGCCTGCATGGAATCCCTTGTCTCCCTGGTATTGTCCATGGCTCTTCAGTAAGAAGTGCTTTCTCTGGGTAAATAAATTGCAGCCTAATTCATTGCTTGGAGGTAGCTAGCATAGAATTCATTGCTTGGAGGTAGCTAGCATAGAATTCATTGCTTGGAGGTAGCTAGGCAGGAATTTTGGTGCCTCTTTTTGCATATCTCTAATGACCTGCCCCTGAAACAGAGCTCAACACAGGTGGAATTGCCTCTAGCAGCAATTCTCCAGGTTCACATGAGAATCTAAACCAGGGCTGTTTGCAGCCCTGAACTGTATGCGCTGGTGGTTGACTTCTGAGAATTGCTGTCACTGGAGGACACTTTCATTGGCTTCTCTGAAAGCTGAAACGGTTGAGAGATAAGGAGAATATTGCAAAATTATTGCTTAGAAGCCAACCTTCACTCCTTGCCTTAGAATTGCAGTTGTTCCCTAGAAAAGCCAGTAAGACACAAATAGGGACAGAATTTGGCTCTGGGCACAGTCTTGCACTGGGAAGACTCTGGGAGCAGAAGTGTGGTACTTGATCATTTATGTTCAGTCCATGCATCCAACAGACCGAGGGCTGTAGCAGTTGGTTTCCAAGAATCTTATCATCTTTGAACAAAGAGAACTAATGTAGAAAATGGAAGATGCATGCCCAAGATTGCTTGTCTATAAGTCCGTGGAAACTTATCTTGATTCAGAAAGGCAGTTGACGTGTTTCTAGAAATGAAAATTCTGTGCATTCATACCTAACTCCGTGATGTAACGCATAATAATTTATGATACTAACAATAATAATAACAGATATCAAATGATAAACCACTTGTCATACCGAAAGACAGCTTTAAGTGGTTTTACAGAATCAGGGACTGAAGTACATCGTGTTTAATACAAAACCTTGTCATTTAATATATTTCAGTTGTTTCAACCAAAGCTAAAAGCACAAGAGTTCCAAAGTGAACATTTGGCAACATTTTGAAACCCCAACAATAACAAGAGTAATACGATAATGTTGCAGTCATGATCCATGAACCGCTGCTGCGAAAGGCAGACTTTTGCTGCCTTTCTCAATGCACTTTAGGGACCTAGAAAAGTAGCAAATTAGAAGGGAAAATGGGACAAAAATGTGTTGCAAATAGTATGCAGTACATGGCAGTATGGGATATCTGGAGTAGATACCTTTGCTACTATAAATACGCTGATCTATTTATTATCTTGAATTATTTTATCTTTGGGACCCATACTGAATATTGAATTGGCATAGCAGTATGAATGACCCACAAATTGTGTACACATTGTAACTTGACTGGCAAGATGTTTGCAGGATGCCCCTTCCATTCCAAAACTGCAGAAACAAGTGGCCGTGTTTGCTTATAGAAGTCGTGGAGTGCAAAATTAAATCCCCAGGTAGGCCTTGCGTTGGATAAGTCATGATCAGCCACCTCATCCTACCTTGCACAGTCTTCTGAGAATGTGCAAGCACCATAAAATGTTTCATAGATTGGGAAGCTTTGCAAAACCGATGCTGGAAACCTGGTTCAGCAAAGGATTTCTCCGTTACCGAACTGACAGGAATGGTGGAAGGGCGACTTCTCGGTACTTTGGTGCGATAGGATGTGTGGGAAGGGATAACATATATTTAATCAGTTTTGGACTGCCGGGGTTATAATTAGAACACAACTTTTTCCCTGCAGAAACGTCTCTCCGTGTGTTTGCATGTGAGAGCG